AAAAAAAAAAAAAAGAAAAAAGAAAAGAAAAAAGAAAAAAGTTGTAGTATGCGAAATCAACATACAAAAATCAGTCGCATTTCTATACACCAATAATAAACTAGCTGAGAAAGAAATCAAGAAGGAAATCCCACTTATAAGAGCTAAAAGAAAATAAAATACGTAGGAAATAAATTTAACCAAGTAGGTGAAAACCTCTACAAGGAAAACTACAGAACATTGATGAAAGAAATTGAAAAAGACTTAAAGAAATGGAAAGACAATCCATGCTCATGGATCAGAAAAAATTAATGCTGTTAAAATGACCATACAACCCAAAGCAATCTACAGATTCAATAAAATCTCTATCAAAATATCAACGTCATTTTTCACAGAAGTAGAAAAAATAATCCTAAAATTCATATGGAACCAAAAAAAAATAGCTCAAATAGCCAAAGCAATCCTAAGTAAAAAGAAAGCTGGAGACATTATACTATCTGACGTCAACATATATTACAAGGCTCTAGTGACCAAAACAGCATGGTATTGGTATAAAAACAGGTATAACATGAAACAGAATAGAAAACTCAGAAATAGATCCATACATTTACAGCCAATTGATTTTCAACAAAGGTGTCAAGGACATTCATTGGGGAAAGGATATCTTCTTCAATAAATGGTGCTGGGAAAATTGGATGTCCATATGCAAAATAACATGACTAACCTCCTACCTTTCACTATATACAAAAATCAACTCAAGATAGATTAAAGACTTAAACACAAGGCCTGAAATCATAAAACTACTAGAAAAAAACAGGGGAAGCACTTAAGGACACTGGTCTAGGAAAAGATTTTATGGCTAAGACTTCAAAAGCACGGCAACAAAAACAAAAGTATTCAAATTGGACTATATTAAACTAAAAAGCTTCTGCACATCAGAGGAAACGACACAGTGAAGAGACAACCTGTTGAATGGGAGAAAATACTTGCAAACTATTCATCCAACAAGGAATTAACATCCAGAATATACAAGGAACTCAAACACCTCAACAGTAAAAAATAATAATTCCATTTAAAAGTGGAAAAAGGGTCAGGCATGATGACTCTTTGGGAGGCTGATGCAGGTGGACCGCTTGAGCCCAGGAATTTGAGACCAGCCTGGGCAACATAGCGAAACTCCATCTCTACCAAAAAAAAAAAAAAAAAAAATTAGGCTGGGACTGGTGGTTCATGCCTGTAATCTCAGCACTTGGGGAGGCCAAGATGGTATGATCACTTGAGCCCAAGAGTTCAAGACCAGCCTGGGCAACATAGTGAGACCTCATCTCTACAAAAAATCAAAAAATGAGGTGGGAGGATCACTTGAGCCGAGGAGGTTGAGGCTACAATAAGCAGTGATTGTACCACTACATTCCCATCCCCTGTCTCAAAAACACACACACACACACATAAATAAATAAATAAAAACTTAGCTGGGCATAGTGGCACATGCCTATGGTCTCAACTACTCTGGAGTTGAGGCAGGAGAAACATCTGAGCCCAGGAAGTGGAAGCTGCAATGACTCGTGATTGCACCACTGCACTCCAGCCTGGGCAACAGAGCAAAACCCTGACTCCAATAAATAAATACATAAATAGTGGACAAAGGACATAAATAGGTATTTCTCCAAAGAAGACATACAGGTATATGAAAACATGCTCAATGTCATTAATCATAAGGGAAATGCACAATAAGGTATCATCTTCACCCAGTGAGAATGGCTATGATTAAAAAGACAAAATAATAATGGATGTGGGTAAGGATGCAGAGAAAAGGGAACTCTTATGCACTGCTGGGTGGGAATGTAAATTAGTACAGTCACTGTGGAAAACAGTATGGAGATTTCTCAGGAAAATGAAAATAGAACTACCATACATTCCAGCAATGTCACTACTGGGTGTTTATCCAAAGGAAAGAAAACTAGTATATCGAAGGGATACCTGTACTTCCATGTTTACCACAGCACTATTCACAATAGCAAAGATATAGAATCAACTTAATGTCCATCAACAGACCAATAAATAAAGAAAATGTGAGCTGGGTGTGGTGGCTTACCCCTGCAATCCCAGCACTTTGGGTACTCAGGAGGCTGAGGCAGAGAATTGCTTGAACCTGGGAGGCAGAGATTGCCGTGAGCCGAGATCGCACCACTGCACTCCAGCCTGGCCAACAGAGCGAGTGAGACTCTGTCTTTAAAAAGGAAAATAAAACAAAATGCAGTATGTACACACACACACACACACACACACACACACACACAATCAAGTACTATTCAGCCATACATAAAAAAGAATGCAATCACGTCATTTGCAACAACGTGGATGGAACTGGAAGTCACTGTTACATGAAGTAAGCCTGGCACAGACAGACAAATATTGCATGTTATCACATATGTAGGAGCTAAAAAAGTTGATGATGGATACAGAGATACCAGAGGCTGGGAAGGGTGTATGGGTTGGTATGGAAAAGTGGTTGGTTAATGCGGTTAGATACAAAGAATAAGTTCTAATGTTCTATAGTAGACTAGGGTGCCTACAGTTAACAATGTATTGTGTATTTCAAAATGGCTATAAGACTTGAAATGTTCCCAACATATAGAAATGACAAACACTTAAAGTGACAGATACATTAAATACTTTGACTGATCATTACACATTCTATGCATGTAACAATATATCATGTGTACCCCATAAATACGTACAAATATTTGTTGTGTACCAATTAAAAATAAACAAAATTTAAAAAATAAAAATATGGTATCTCTACACAATGGAATATTATTCAGCATTAATACACTGCAAGTTGGATGAATCTTGAAAACATGCTACATGAAAGAAACAGTGCATAAAAGATCACAAATCGGGCTGAGCATGGTGGCTCACACCTGTAATCTCAGCACTTTGGGAGATCGAGGCAGGCACATTGCTTGAGCTCAGGAGTTCCAGACCAGCCTGGGCAACTTGATGAAACCTGTCTCTACAAAAAACAATTAGGCAGGCGTGGCGGTGCACGCCTGTGGTCCCAGCTACTGGCTACTTACGAGGCTGATATAGGAGGATCACTTGAGCCTCTCCTGCTTGCTTCACTGAAGGCATCAGGCAGTTTCATGTCTGGGAAAAACTTCTCGAAGCAGCTCCTAGTAGGACTGGGTGTCCACATCCAGGATATGGCTCCTGTAGAGAGTTTGGAATACTTACCCCTCAATCTTGGGGGAGGAGCAGGGGCTGGCGCCATGAGGACTTACTGTCCTTCTGACCAGTCCTGATGTTTCCAAGGTATTGGGGTTTTCAGGACAGGGTAAGACTGTTCTAAGGCCACAGTGTGGCAACTGCAGCAAGTCACAGGCCAAATCCTCAACTCTGGCACTGCCTAAAGCACCCTTCTTGACCAGGTGCAGCGTCTCATGCCTGTAATCCCAGCACTTTGCGTGGCTGCGGTGGGTGAATTACTGGAGGTTAGGAGTTCAAGAGTAGCCTGGCCAACATGGTGAAACCCTGTCTCTACTAAAAATACAAAAATTAGCTGAGTGTGTTGGCACATGCTTGTAATCCCAGCGACTTGGGAGGTTGATGCAGGAGAATAGCTTGAAACTGGGAGGCAGAGGTTGTAGTGAGCCAAGATTGTACCAGTACACTTCAGCCTAGGCGACACAGCAAGACTGCATCTCAAAAATAATAACAACAATAGTAATTTTAAAAATAAATAAATAAAAATAAAGTGCCTTTCTTGCTCATTCCACGTCTCACCACAACTCTATTAGGCAAGTATTAATGGCTCTCCATGGCTATAATAGAGGAAATCTGGGCCTTAGATTCCACCCTTCGCCCAAGGGCCTAGTGGAGGTTCAATATAACAGTAGTCAGTATTATTACTATCTTATTACCACTCTCTCTGTGAAATTCCAGCAAGGAGGGTTTCCGCATCTTGTTGGGGGCCAGTTCCTGAGCAGGGCTTCGAGCACCCACTCGAGGCAGTGGCACAAGGGCCCGCAGGGGCTCTGAGGCTCTTTCTGGGTCTTGTGGGCCCTCACAAAAATGGCAGGGCATTGGAGCAAGCTCCTCAGGCTGTGCAGGCTGAAAGGTCCCTCGGGCATCCAGAAAGCTCACCTGACCCTCACCAGTGAGGTTGGACCCCTACTCATATCTTGGGGAAACCATGGAGGTGGAATTCAGTTTCAACCAGTGAAGTCAACCAAAACGGCCATGCTGAAGCCTGAGCAGAGCTCCCGCCAGGCCCTGCTCTTGGTGCCAGGCTCGCTGGGCAGCGCCTCCTCCCAGAAGTCTCTCCTGTGGTTCCTTCATTCTGCTAAATGGTTAGTGAGCATCAAGCACATGCTGAACTGGGGACAGAGAGTGAGCTGATACACATGGACTCTGACCTCCAAGAAGACAGATAAGCTAGCGAAAGTCACTATACAGTGTGAAAACTGCTAGAATGAAGAAAGGAAAGGACAAGGAGAGTCTCCTAGAGAGACACCTTTTTCAAAATAAAAGGGAGGGGCTGGACACAATGTCTCACGCCTGTATTCCAGCAGTGGTGAGATTACTTGAGGTCAGGAGTTTGAAACCAGCCTGGCCAACATGGTGAAACACCGTCTCTACTAAAAATACAAAAATTGGGCATGGTGGCATGTGCCTGTAGTACCAGCTACTCAGAACACTGACGCAGGAGAATTGCTTGAACCCAGAGGCAGAAGTTGCAGTGAGCAGAGATCACACTATTGTACTTCAGCCTGGGTGACAAGAGCAAAACTCTGTCTCAGATAAAAAGCTTTTTAAAAAACTAGTTTTAAAACATAAATCATTCTTATTGAAGTGTATTATATCATGCCCATAGTATTTAATTATTAAATTTGACTTTTATTAAAAAAAAAAGTATCACACTTAGATAAGCATATATAAGTAGAACATACATGGAGCTTATATTGTTGCGGGAATCAGGAGGATGAGAGACCTCAGGGAAAAGCAGGAGGATCTTTATTGAGTGCACTCAGACCCAGTGGATTAACATCCAAAAACTGGGCCTAAAACAAAGACAGGTCTTGGCTTTTATATACACTTCAAAAAGGCGGTGTGCTAGCTTGAACCAGGCTTACAGTGGCATGAAAGCAAGGATAGAGAGGCAGAACAACAGCAGTTAAACAAATTGTGACAGGTGAATCACTCAGGATTATACATGACCATTGCCAAGCAACCCACATGGCCGTTACCTAGGTTTTGCTCAAGAGCCTTGCACTGATTTCTCTCATGACCTTCGCTGTGGTGCCCAGACGGCTATAGTTCAGGCCTGCTCAGGCTTCTCATGACCTTCACTCCCCTGATTAGATAAAACAATACTTGAAGTCACTAGTTGCAGAGAACAGGAATCTATAAACTCATACCATAAGAGAAAGGAAAATTTGTTTTTCTTCTCCCTATGTTAAGGGAGTGCTGGGAGAGTCTCCAGACTCCAGACAAACATTCCTTTGTGTCCTGGCTTCTTAGATAGTATTATCAAGACTTTTCCTGGGTCTGGGCTGTGCCTGTTGCTGCCTCTGGGATAAGTCAGCCTAATACAGGAAAGCTTATTTCTTTTTCTTTTTAATTTTATTTTTCTTTCTTTAATTTCCCACCTCAATATAGTAATTATATTTCTTTTTCTCTTTTTTCTTACACATTCTTAAATACAAGTCCTTTGTTTCTATAGGAGATATTCTCAAAGTGGGATGTGCATCTACGTCATGAAGCATACAATTAAATAACATCCATACACCCATCACCTCATGCATAATGAAATATTTCTAGTCCTGTCGAAGCTACAGGACTGCTGGAATTTCTTCTCTGATTCGGTCCCCTTGCTTCACCACAGAGGTGACTACTCTTCTGAAGGTTATATTCATAACCCCTGTGCTTTTCTTTATAGTCTACATATATATCTATGTATAGAGAGGGGAGGTGTAGGTATAAATATACACATATCTAAAAATATATTATTTTGTCATATTTATTTTTAAGCTTTATAAAAATGGGTATCATGCTGAAGTGGTATTTACCTTGAAGCACACTGTGATCAAAAAAAAAAAAAAAACAAAAAAAACAAACCACCATCACGCCCAGTGGTATAAGCATGGCTCACATAGCTCATTCTGGCATTTTGGGAGGCCATGGCAGGAAGAGTTCAAGACTAGCTCTATAAAAAATGGGACCAGGAGTTCAAGACAAGCTCTACAAAAAATGAGACCCAGTCCCTACAAAAAAATATAAAAATTAGCCAGGCACAGTAGCATATGCCTGTAGTCCCAGCTACTCAGGAGGCTAGGGGAGGATAATTGTGTGAGTACAGGAATTCAAGGCTGCAGTGAGTTGTGATCAGACTACTTCACTCCAGCCTAAGTGACAGAACGAGACCCTATCTTAAAGGACAGAAAAAGGGAGAGAGGCAAAGATGGCTGATTCAGAGCTGCTGCGGTCCATGGCTCTTATGGAAAAGAATGAAAACAGTGAGTGAATTCAGCACCTTCAACTGAAATATCCGGGTTCTCACATTGGGACTGACTAGGGAGATGGCTTGACCCACAGAGAATGAAGAAAAGCAGGGTGGGGCGATGGCCCACCTGGGAGCAGCATGGAGTCAAAGGAATCCTATCATGGTTAATACTGACTGTCTACTTTATTGGATTGAGGGATACAAAGTATTAATCCTGGGTGTGTCTGTGTGCATGCTGCCAAAAGAGATTAACATTTGAGTCAGTGGGCTGGGGAAGTCAGATCCACCCTTAATCTTGTGGTCACAATCTAATCAGCTTCCAGCAAATATAAAGCAGGCAGAAAAACATGAAAAAGACGAGATTAGCCTAGCCTCCCAGCCTACATCTTTCTCCCATGCTGGATGCTTCCTACCGTTGAATGTTAGACTCCAAGTTCTTCAGTTTTGAGACTTGGACTGGCTCTCCTTGCTCCTCAGCTTGCAGACAGCCTAACATAGGACCTTGTGATTGTGTAAGTTAATACTTAATAAACTCATATATATATTAGAGAAAGAGAGTGAAACTTTCTAATTCAGTTTGCTTAATTACTGATGCATGCAGCCCCAGCCTGTACCCCATGCTGCTCAATGCCCCACAACCTTTCAGGTAAGCCCCTTAGAATTTAAGGCCTTAAAAAAACGACAGGCAATTCTCTCTTCGGGAGCTTGTTTTGGAGCAAGTCTGCCACACTCCTGGCCAATAAATCTACCTCCTTCCTCAACGGTGTCTAGGGGGGTGCCGTGGCTCAGTCGCTACAGATCCCAACCCACTAAACTCTCACCACTAATCCCATACCTTCAATTCCCTCCATGCCTGTTCTCCAGATTGCTGTTTATATAAATTAGAGAACTCAAACAGTTCAAGTATAGCACACCTCCTCATGGGTCACTCTCAACCTCATCCTTAGAGGCCCACCAGGACTTTAGTTATAGGTTTAGATGCAAACAGAGGTGTTGAGGGTGGCCTCTGAGGAGACTCAACATTATCTTGCCTGGCAACTGGCTCGGGGAGGCCGTCACTGTTGCTGCAGGCAGCATAGGGTTCTATTATATATATAATAGAAAATACATATATTTTCTATTCTGTCCCTCTAAGAGAACCCTAATACAGATTAGATTCTGGTACTGGGAGTATGGTTCTAGAGGAACAGAATATAAAGGATGGAGTTCTTTTGTTGGTTTGGGGGTCTCCGGGGTTGGCTGATTAATATAATTAGACCCAAAAATGCTAAGGTCTCTACTTCTAATAGTATGGAGAACACTGATAGTTTTTGGCGGAAACTGTTTAGAGAGTTATACAAAATATATGCATTTAATTCTCCTGATTCACCACTCGTGAGAGGCAAGGAGTTTAGTGACTCTATACATATCTTTGACCATATGTGGAGAATCAAGGAACATAATGAAGCTGGTTGGTTGCTCCTAAGTTCAGCAGACAAAGTGACAAAAGACAATGATGAACTCAAGGATTCTGTCTCCTGGGTTCAGAAGCAGATAGGGAGCCTCAAATCTGCTAAGACTGCCCTGAATGAGAGTCTTATCTCCTGTAGAGAAAGAGCTGAAATGGTGGAAAAACAGACCCAAGCTCTTACACAAGTGGCTGACCAGCAATGAAAGATGCATGCACGGCCTCACCAAGTGTCTACTGTTAAAGTGAGGACATTGATCGGAAAAGAATGGAACCCAGCAACTTGGAATTGGGACATGTGGGAGGACCCTGACGAAGTTGGGGACACTGAGTTTATAAACTCTGATAAACCTTTTTTGCCAGAAGGAACAGCTTCCCCATCCCCAGTAGTGGCAACAAAGCCTCCCTGACCTATGCTGCTATCAGCCTTTCCACCTTTGTCCGAGAAGAACCCTATGCTGCCTGCAGCAACAGTGATGGCCTCCCCTGAGCCAGTTGCCAGGCAAGATAATGTTGAGTCTCCTCAGAGGCCACCCTCAGCACCTCTGTTTGCATCTAAACCTATAACTAAAGTCCTGGTGGGCCTCTAAGGATGAGGTTGAGAGTGACCCATGAGGAGGTGTGCTATACTTGAACTGTTTGAGTTCTCTAATTTATATAAACAGCAATCTGGAGAACAGGCATGGGAATGGATATTAAGGGTATGGGATAGTAGTGGAAGGAACATAGAGTTGGATCTGTAGCAGGATGAGCCACGGACAAAACCCCTCAGATACCAGGTTGAGGAAAGAAGTAGATTTATTTGGCCAAGAGCGTCGGCAGACTTGCCTCTCAAAAACCAAGCTCCCCAAGAGAGAAATTCCTGTCCCTTTTAAGGCCTTACAATTCTAAGGGGGTCTACCTGAAAGGGTTGTGATCAATTGAGCAAGCATGGGGTACAGGCTGGGGCTGCATGCATCAGTAATTAAGACAAAACAGAACAGAAAGTTTCACAATGCTTCCTCATACAATGTCTAGAATCTATAGATAATACAAGCAGTTAGGTCAGGGGTTGAAATTTAACTACCAGACCAGGCCTGGTGTGCGGGGCCAGGCTGCCTGACTATTGATCTCATTTTTGCCTTTCTTTAACTTTTATTTCCTCTTTCTTTTTCTGAGGTATGAGACAATAAGAGGTGGTCTCCTTCCTCATTCCCCTCTTTGAGAATCTCACTTATTAGTGGGAGTTCTCACTTTCATCTTCACTACCTAGGTCTTCCTGCAAGACAGACTGATAATGATTCATGTAATACATTTGAGCCTTATCTGTACTTGCTAGTTTCACATTCCTTGAGGCTCAGCAAGTTCCTCCTTCACCTCCCTAGTGCAGCTGCAAAGTTACAAGGTTTATACAGAAACATGGTTTCCCAAGGATGTGGAATATGTAGTATAGATAAATGTAAAAGACTGATCAACTGCCTTTGTTCTTGCTTCTGTAAGTACGCTTCCTGCATCATGTAGCTTCCAGCCACTAACTGCTTAAAAGGTGGCTGCTTTCTTTGTCTGGGGCTCAGACTTTCCTGGACACTAGTCCTACTGAGTTAGGTGATCACCTTTTAATAAAGACCTTTCCTGAACTCACTCTGTTCGGTCTCTCCCATCTTTGATTGTCTCGCAACAATAGTAACTATAAAACAGAAAGACTGCTTTAACTTGTTGCCCTATCCCAGTGACCTGATGAATACACTGGGAACAGTCCTCCATGCAGGGAAAATCAGTGAAAGTCCTTATTATATAAGACCAAATTTTAAGGAGAATAAGTCCCATGATAAGTTTCCTCATGCTTCAGCCATGCGTAGACGAGTCAGCTTCTGGGTGTAACAGGAGCAGGGCTTGTCGTCCTTCTCAGAGTCACTTTGCAGGGGTTGTCTGGGCTTGGTCTCACCTCCCAGGTCTCAGAGGCTGCAGGTTTCACATGGCTGTGGTGGATCCAGGCTGGGATTCCTTCTATCTTTACAGCTGTGGGGGTGATCAAGATGACAGTCTGGGGTCTTTCCACTGTGGTTGCAAGGGGACTACATTCCAATCCTTGATCCACACTTGATCCCCTAGGGAGAAAGGATGAACTGGGGAGAATAAGCTGATGGGGCATCTCTCATTTACCCAGGATGAAATTGTTTGAGCAATTTCTCCTCAGGCCTGTAGCTGTCATTGTAACTCAATTTCACCTAGCTCTTGTGGAGTGTCTGGGAGTCCCTGTAGTATGGGAGGGGGTCTATGATACAATATTTTACAAGGGGAATATCCTATCCTTTTAGAAGGGGTACAGCTTATTTCAAACAATACCATCGGGAGAGCCTGTATCTATTTTAATCCTGTTTCCTGACACACTTTCCCTAAGCTATTCTTGATAATCCGATTCATTTGCTCCACCTTTCCAGAACTTTGAGGTCAGGAGGCAGCATGCAGTTTCCATGTGATCCCTAATACCTTTGCTGTCTTCTGTACCAAGTCAGCCACAAATGCCTGCCCATTATCTGAGCCAATTCCTAAGAGCAGTCCAAATCTACGAATAAGATCTCGAAGAAGCATACAGGTTGCTTCACAAGCTTTCTCAGTTCGTGTTGGATAAGCCTCCACTCACCCAGAGTAGATACACATGAGAACTAGTAAATACTTGTTACCTCCACACTTGGGCATTTCTGTGAAGTCCACCTGGAGATCTTCAACGGGAGCTGCTCCATAAACTTGTATGCTGGGCAGAATGGCTGGACCCTGCCTCGTATTGAACTGTCAGCAGGTTACACACCACTGCGCCACTATTTTGGCAAGGGCTGACAAATGCGAGATGTAGAAGTACTGGCCTAACAACTTTTCAAGTGACTCCTAACCTAGACAGGTGGTTTCATGCACAGCCAGTACAACTGCTGCTCCCAGCAGCTGTGGCACAGTTACTTTCCTATCTGGTAACCAGATCCATCCTTCTTCCATCACCTGTCCTCCCTCTGCCTGTAGAAAGTCCTTTTCTTCTTTAGAATAAGTAGGTACAAGGTCAGGTGCTTGAGGGGGACTGTGACTGATGCCCAGTAGGGGGCAGATGCTGCTTTTAGAGCCTCTGAGTCACCTTGGGAGTTTCCCAAGGCAACTGAGGTGGAAGCTGGCTGGTGTCCTCTGCAGTGCATGACTGCCACCTTTTGAGGTTTCCACACTGCTTCTAATAATTCCAAGATTTCTTGCTGATATTTTATGTCCTTTCCCCTAGAGTTCAACAGGCCCTTTTCTTTATATAATGCTCCATGTACTTGGAGGATTAAAAAGGCATACCGGAAGTC